ACATACCGATAACTTAAGTGATGACCAAAGTGCCGGTGAAAGATTATTCCAAAGTAAGGCATATTTGAAGCAAAAGTGAGAGAGTGTTTAGGTGTAGAGCAAAGAGGTGGCGGAATCAATATGGAGGAGTTGTGCGTGACAAAAGACCGATCTCTCGGAGGGACAGTGTCGATGCGCTGAAGATTAAAACAAGACTTAATGCGAAAAGGGAAGCAAAGGCCAGCTTCGAGTCGTCTAATCCATAAAAACCTAATGTTCGTCAGACGTCATCTCTCAGTATAAGAAACACTAGATGCAGCTTGAGCAAAGTGTTTGTCGGTAAAATTTCTATGAACATTTTCGATTTTATTGCGGTCATAGACATTCATTATATCAAAAAGGGCAGCAATACCCAAGGACGGGAAAACAAGCAGTTAATAAAGTCTTGCCTTTATTTCCGGTAGGAAAATATTATGTGATAGTAACCCACATATCTGTGCAGCTTTGGCAGAGATTTTGCCTGCATGAGGTGATAAGGTAAGCTTATTTGTATAGCTCAAACCTAGGTCCTTTATGATGTAGCATTCCGAAATTGGGCTATTCTGAAAAATCATGGGACCTGCAAGCTTAGTAGTATCAAACACATGCAACCAAACTTGGATGATGAAAACTCTATTTGCCATGTTGGACTCCATCTGATTAAGCGTAGTAAATCGTCCTCAATTTTTTTCTACACGGACATTTACGATGTCCTTAGAATATGAGTAAATACACTTGAGGTCATTGGCATAGATAAACGTTTGCGAAGTTTCGATTTCAGTCAAAATATAATTGATGTAACGAAGGAAGAGTAGCGGATGCGGACCAAAGTAGATAACTGCCAGTGACCGCTGTTCATTACGCTGAGAAATGATTAGATTAAGAAAGGCTAAGTGGCGAGTTTCGTAGGATATTTCGGGTAAAGTAAACCTATGCTGATTCAAACTCCGAAGCTGATGAACTAAACAGAAACCAAGAATTCCATTGAAATTAATCCTTTCAAGAAGTTTTGCTAGAGACGGGATTCTGTGCACGCCCCGATAGTTATTAACATCGGATCGAGATCCAAATCTGAAGACAGGAATGATAGTTGACGTCTTCCGTGTTTCCGGGAAAACTCCTTTCGAAATATAAACTGATAATAAATGACTTAGCAATATTGGAAGGTTGGATGCATGTTTAATAATCGAATTCGGAATTACGTCTGTCTCCTAGCAGTGTGGTTTTCAAACGACTAATGTGTTTCTCAATCATATCTGAGGAGACATCTATTGTACTCAGTGTCCTATCTAGAACTGAACGAAAGAGAGGGACTACTTCGAACTCAGTAATAGGGTGTTTGCAATGAAAGCTTCAAACAACTCCGCCTTGTCAGTGTCATCGACGAAGACGCTTTTATTATCCTTAAGCACGGCTGGAGGAGGACCGACTGCGGAAGATGTTAGCGACGGATTTGCCAGGGTTCGGATCACTTAGGGCAAATGATTCGCTTTTTTTCACTGCTGGTCGGATTTGTGTTTAATCGCTTCCCTTGACAATGCCTGTAAACTGGCATTAAATTAAAATTTATTTATATTTATTTATTTGCCTGTCGCTGGCTTGGCGCATCCTTGAGGCCATTTCAAAAATCTCTGTGATTCTAAGATGAACGTATAAAGAACTAGTGGATTGGTCACGCAGCTGTATTCTCAACGCTTCTAGCCTGTTGAGAAGAAAGTAAGAAACAAGGGAATCTGGAGAATTAGACTTTAGATATCTACACAGCACAAACTCTAGGTTGCTCTTGGAAACATTGGACATAACATCACGAAGAGTGGTTACACCGGTGCAGGAGAGTGAGTAACGGCATTTCAATGATCTAGTATAGTTATTTATTAAGTCGTTATCTACGCAACCGTAGTTTGGGTAGGTCCGAATCGTGCTCGTCTTTTTTGAATAGGCACGTATTAAGTAACAACGAATTTATACGTGGTCATTATCAAGGAGGCCCTTTTTTGTGGACAACAAGAAAAGGGGCAATGTCACTGGTGAAGATTATATCCAAATGGTAATTGTCTCTTGCTGGACAGCGCATCAGTTGAGACCATTTAACAAAATTGACAATATACTGGAAGGACTGGAATCTAGGTGGACAGATATTGGAAACCCAGTCTATCTCAGGAAGGTTAAAATCCCCAGTGATTATTTTAACATCGAAAGCAACTTCTGAGATTAATTTAAAGGTTTCACAGCGTTGTGAATCGCCAATGGCTGAAGAGTTTGGGGGATTGTAGATACAGCCAATAATTGCCTTTCTTTATGGCGAGAGAATAACAGATGTAAAGCAGAAGTTTCCTGTGAATGAGGAGGCTTCCAGGTGATAGGAAGAGTGACTTAATTAGGGTCTCAGATATAGAAGACAACCGCCCCTACGCCTAATCGTGCGGTCTTTACGATAAATATCGAAGTCCTCTTTGAGAAGGACAGAGTCAAGAATTAGAGAATGGGTCCAAGATTCTGTTATACGTATAATCTCAGGCGTCATTCCCACAGCAATGGCTCTGATTTGGGCCATCTTGCTCATAACGGACCTGGCATTCAATAATATACTATCTAATATGTTTCGAACAGCAAGGCTATTGTCGACGGTGTTAAGAGAAAAAATTTGGAGGCGGATACATAGGCTGTGAATTAAGGATGTTTGGGGAAGAAACACCAGTCAGTCTAAAGTTCTTGACGTACAGGGAGTCAGCAAAAGAAGGCTGGGCATGAGACCAAAAGGATGTGGGGATATAGTTCTCGAGCATTGAAATGCTAGGCGAGTTAGAACAGGGATAGACTTTTTGGTAGTTAAATTGTGAAGGAGGGGGAGGAGGGAGCCTAGGAGGAAGGTAGAAGCTGGTGACGAAAGGGAAGGCAGCTATAAGAACAAAAGGGTGGGAAACCAGGTCTGGGCTGAAAGTCAAAGGAGTTAGGTCGACTTATCAGAGAACAGTTGGCCTTAAGTGGTGGGAAGCCTGAAGTAGGTTGGAGGATAAAGGACTTAGGGCAGTTTACGTACTAATTATTTACTGGATATATAGTAGAACTTTGGCACGTAACCGGTACGCAGGACATATAATTATTTGGGGATATAATTTACATGATTACAGTTCGACCACTGTTTCGACGATGTCCGCGTGTGTTCCACGGTAGGATGAGAGCACGGACGATGACTTGCACATAAGTTGGTTTAACAAGACTGTGGGCTTGCGCTGTGTCTACCACACTTTCTCCTTCTCCCCCACATGGGTCCGGCGTCAAGATGAAGTCAAGAAGAACGGATACGAGGAAGAACGCAGATGACTGCACAAGATAAACCCGCACATAGACGTACCATCCCACCCCTTGGTCCACAACGTACACTGACCATAATTATACATAGCAGCAGAAGAAGGGGACGGATCGGATCCCTTAGAGTGGGAGTGCCGTTAAGGCTGCATTTAAAAGGAGCCATTGAAGCCTTCCTTGATCTAGCAGCCGGCCACTTCTCACAAACATATTCAGGGCTGACTGCGAGGTCAAAGTTGTCTTGCCAGTTTGAAATCATCCAAGCCATGGCATTTAGCGCATCGTGGTAATTTCAAGCAAGTCAGAATGTTCATGGTGAGGAAAATGCGCTGGGACGTTGACCTCCCTCTCTGTTCCCATTCCCAGGCCCCAGCTGTTGTCCAAATCGGTCAATCGTCTGGTGCAGGGAATGGCGCAGTGGATGACACATAGAAACCTAGTTTTCACATGCCACATACGCCACCTGAAATCCCAAACACATGCACCAGGATACCGCACAAAAGGGGTGGCCGGCCTGCGTCTCACATGCGTGAGAGTACGAGGGGTCATGTTAAGAAGGTGTCATTACAGCCTGACTCTCAGTCCACAAGTCCGTCAGTCCTCAAAGCGCACGACAGTTCGACCGTCGCATCTGACGATGTCCACCTTATGCCCCACAGCACGTTCGGAGCAGGGACGGTGACTTACGCAGGATTGACGATACAAGCAAAGATGCAAGTTCCAGGAACTAGTTGATCACAAGAAGAAGAAGTGATCGCTGGAACAAGGGATTTATTCGGCGAATAAAACCCTTGTTCCATCGATCACTTCTTCTCTTGCACAGGATTATAGTGAGAGTAGACTTGCGCTGCATTTACCGCACCCTCTCCCCCTCTCCAGCTGGACCCGGTGTCGAGACAGAGTCAATAAGACCGGAGACGGGGAGGGCGAAGGTGGATAGCACGGTCGAGCCCGCACCCTGGCGTTCCGCTCCACACCCCCTGGTCCACAGAGCAAATAACCAGGTTGTTGACCAACAACAAAGAGAGTGGAGGCTGGCAGGGCCGAAGCCGCACCTAGGCGTGCAGCCAAAGCCCGGCTCGGATCCCACACAGCGGGAGTGCCATAGAGGCCACATTAAGAAGGAGCCATTGCAGCCTCTCTCAGACCACCAGCCTACCATTCCACACAAATACACACAACACTGGGCCGACTGCGAGGTCCAAGTTATCTCGTCAGTTGACAGCCTTCTAAGCCACAGATTTTAGCGCACCGTGATAGTTTCAAGCGCGTCAGATTGCTTATAGCAAAGAAAATGCGCTGAGTCGTTGACCTCACTCTCCCTTCCCATTTCCACACCCCAGCCACTGTCCGAGCCGGCCAGTTAACTGCAGCAGGGAATGGGCGAGGTGGCTAACATAGTCTAGTGATCTCGTCTGCGTGCGCAACATGCACGACCTGCCCCCCCCCTCAGACACAAACCAGGATTTCACACGACGGGGGTTGGGTGGCGTATCTCTCACATGTGCGGGAGTGCCGTGGAGGGAGCTGGTTTAGCCGGTCTCCCAGCCCACCAGTCCACCACTTCACACAAACACCCACAACTGAACGGACTGCGTAGACCGAGCTGGGACGTCAATCAGCAACTTTCTAATCCACGGCGCTTGACGCGTCGGGATAGTTTCAGGCTCGAGTCACCCATGCAACAAGTGCCGCAGGGAGACAGAGTCAAGACGCACACTTCCCACTTGCGTGGGAAATGGCAGTTGGGTGCTTGCGGTGGGTGATGTTGATGTGTGGCGAGATGGTGCTGAGGGAGGGAGGGTGTGATGGCGTGTTGTGAGATGGTGTGGTGCAGCCGGCGGTTGTCTACCGCAGGTTGTAGGTTGGTGTTCCAGGGACTGGTTTCTAGTCTCCGTGCGATGGATTCGCAAGTGACCGACCAGGTCGATGTGTGAGTTGAAGATGCTGTCGCAGTGAGGGCAGGTGTAGTCCTGGTCCTCAAATTTGGTGTTAGTGTTTGTTGTTGTGTCAGGAATGTGTGTGGTGTTGATGTGCGTGGCAGGCGCCTGGAGCAGCGGAGGTGGAAGAGGAGGCGGAGGGGGATGGAAACGGTAGTTCATGACGGCGGTCCGAACTAGTCGACGGCCTAGAGGACGAGGAAGAGGCGGGCGGAGGGACGACGGTTGGTGCGGTCCGAGTAGTGCAGTTAATCCAAAGGTGTCCTTCAAGTCCAGCTGGCGCTTGGAATGTCCGTGGACACAGTGAACATGCTGGAGGCGGTTGTGCTTTAGCATTGTGGGGTGGGCGCAGCTGGAACACGCTTGCTTCGCCTTTGGCTTTTACGGCGGCGATGCGGCTGGTTTCGTAGATCGCAGCGCCTGTCTTCACTGTCCTCCTCCAGGTCGGTCGGTCGTGGGCGAGGTCTTCCTAATTGGCCGGATTTATTCGCAGACGCTTCAGAGAGGACCTCAGAGTATCCTTGTATCGACGAATTTGCCCTCCTTGTCGGCGGGAACCCGTGGCGACGTCTCCATAGAAGAGTCGCTTAGGTAGCCGCTCGCTGTTGGCTGCCCCAACGCAACTGCAGTTGTCTCAGCATAGTGTAGATGCTGAGAATTCCCGTCCGTTCCAGTATATTATCGTCCGAGATTCGGTCCTGTCACCTCGGTATGCGGCGAAGACAGCTGAGGTGGAAGTGGTTTAGTCGGCGTGCCTGCTCTGTGTACACCGTCCAAGTCTCTGCTCCGTAAAGCGGCGTCGGGAGAATGACGGCCATGTACGTTATCAGCATCGTGTTAAGCTGGAGACCATGACGAATCCAAAGTGTGCTTTGAAGGCGGCGGAAGGTCTGACTGGCCTTCGAAGTCCTGCGGGTCCCTTCGTCGTCGATTTTCGTGCCGCGGGAGAGGGTACTACCCAGGTACGGGAAGTTGTCCACCACCTGCAGGCGGGGTCCGTTCACGCTAATCTGTGGCGCATTGTGGGGAGGGGTTGCGTTCGTTGGCAGTTGGTGAATGACCACCGTCTTCACCCTGTTAATCACCAGACCGAAATTCTCGCAGGCAGCGGAGAGGAGGTCCATGCTCCTTTGCATGTCCTCTTCCGAGGTGGCGTTGAGGACGCGGTCGTCGGCGAATAGAAGGTCGTGGAGAGTGGTTGTGGATACGCGCTATTGGAAGTGCATCTGCCGTTGATTGAGAAGGTGGCCGTCCGTCCTTTAGGCGGTGCAGATCTCGAGACGTTCGTCACTGTAGGCGTCCATCAGCATGGCAGAGAACATAAGACTGGAGAGGTTGGGAGCCAGGACGCATCCCTGCATCACTCCGTTGGTCACTGCGAATGTCTCCGCGACAGTTTCATTGTCCATGACTCGCGCCGTCATGCCGTCATGGAGCCGACGTACCATCTGAATGAATCTCTCGGGATAGCCGAATTTCTGCCCGATCTTCTACAGTCCTTCAGGATTCACCATGTCGACGACATTCGTCAGATCCACGAAGGTGGAGTACAGGTGGGTCCGCATCTCCTGGTATTTCTCTTGAAGTTGACGGGCGACGAAGATCATATCAGTGGTCCCGCGATGACGGCGAAAGCCGCACTGGCTTTCTGGCGGAAGACCCTGTTCTAGATGATTGTTCAGACGGTTGAGGAGGATGCGAGCGAAGATCTTCCCGGCGATGTTCAGCAAGGAGATGCCGCGGTGATTGTCGCAGACTTGGCGATTTCCTTTGCGCTTGTAGAGATGCACGATGGTTGCGTCTTTGAAATATTGCGGGACTTCACCTTGACGCCACATCTCCTGGAAGAGCGCAGTCAGGTGATCCATCAGTTGGGGACCTCCGTGCTTGTAGACCTCAACAGGGATCGCGTCCGATCCGGGTGCTTTCCCCCTGGAAAGCTGCTGCACGGCCCTGATGGTCTCCTGGAGAGATGGCGGGAGGTGGAGGTCCACATTGGTCTCCATTTGCGGCAAGCGGGCGATGTCGGCATCGGAGATGGCGGAGGGGCGGTTGAGGACGCCTCGGAACTGCTCGGTCCATCGCTGTAAATTTTTTCTTTTCACTGGGGAGGGTGCTGCCGTCGGCGCAGAGGAGAGGAGCGGTGCCTTTGGTCGGCAAACCGTAGACAGCTTTGATCGCGGAGAAGTTCTTTTATTCTTTGCGGTCGGCGTACCCTTGGGTCTTCTTAACCTTGCGAGCCGTCCAGGCGTCCTGCATCACGGGCAGCCGCTGCTTTAGGAGGCGGCGACTGCGGCAACAACAGCTCTGTTGTCGTCGGTAAGGCGGTCGACATACGCTTTATGCAGGCGGTTTTTTTTCGGCGAGCAGGTTGCTGGTGGCGGCGTCGTTGTCGTCGAGCCAGTCCGGGCGTTGGCGGCGTGCGCGACCGAGGACGGCCAGCGCCGTCGACTGAACCATGCCTTGCAGTTGACACCATCGGCTCTCTACGGAGGCGTTCTTGTCTGCGTCGGCGCTGGTGGCGACAGCGAATGGAAGGTTGTTTAGCCGTTGATCTAGTTCACTGATAAAATGGACATGGTGAGCAGGCAAAGACAACAAGGTTGTATTCAGCTTACCTGGGGATCGCTTAACTTGTGGTCTCTTGCGGGACTAGGCGAATCAGCATCTTCGAGATGACGAGGGGATGATCGGTCCACCCGTCAGCACCCGGAATCGTCTTTGTCCCCAGCACGTCCCGCCGCTCTTACCTCCGGACGAGGACGTAGTCCAGCAGGTGCCACTGACGCGACCGAGGATGCATCCAGGTGGCCTTCTTTCGCATCGGCAGGCAGAAGATGGTGTTCATTAGGATGAGTCGGTGTTCTGCGCAGGTGCGGAGAAGGAGCAGGCCGTTGTCGTTGGAGCCTTTAAGACCATGAGGTCCTAGAACTCCTCTACAGGCAGCATGGTTAGTGTCGACGCGGACGTTGAGGTCATCAAGGACAATCATCTTGTCCGCATTCGACACAGTCGCCAGGGGGGTGTGCAGATCTTCATGGAACTTGTTTCTTGCGATATCAGGGCTGGTCATCGGCGGAGCGTAGGTGCTGATGGTGCCGAATTCGTCTTCCCGGAGAAGCAGGCAGAGGCTCATCAGGCGATCGTTGATGCTGTGCGGCAGACAGGGCAGTCGTCCCACGACGTCGTTCCGGATGGCGAAGGCGACACCCGCGTCTCGTCGGTCTTCCCTGGGGTGATTGCTCCAGAAGAAGGTGTTGTTAGTACCTGCATCCTCGAGTTGACTTTGTTCGGAGAATCGAGTTTCGCTGAGTGCGTCAAAGTCCAGTTTGAAGCGCGCCAGTTCCCGAGCCATTAGCGCCGCACTCCGTTCCGGTCGAAGGCTCCTCGGATTGTCTAAAAGGAAACGAATATTCCAGGTTGACAGAGAGAGCGGGCTCACCCTACCAGTCTGGCGAGTGGGGCGGTAGGGACGAAGAGGAGGAGGAGGGGAAGAACAATAGGCAAAAAGAGGAAGATAGAGAGCTGGTTATTGTTTCTGTTTGGACTGTTTCGACCGTGTGTTTCCTCTCTGCGGCCACGGTCAGCCTGCAGACAGCGTGGTTACCAGCGATTTGTAGGGCCCCTCTTCTAGCCCCTGTCCTTGCGGACAGGCAGTGTCTCCCCAAATAGGGCTGCTTGACTGTCCCAGGCGGCTGCCGAACACCACTGTGGGCCACAGCTTTGGTGTAGTGGAAGGGCGACCCGAAGTAGCCTGGGACATGGGTTCATTTGTCTCGTGGACTCCTGGGGTTGTCCAGACGGAGCCTCCTCTCAACGATGCCGACACGAAGATCCATCCGGTCAGCGGGGTTCAAATTACCGTGCGGGCCGGCGCACGCACGAATACCCTCACCTGGTTAAGTCCGCCGGTCGAGGCGGTTACCTGGATGTGGCCGCTGGGAAGAACCCAGTCTCGGGAGCCACATGTGAGAGTTGGATGACAGCAAATAGACGCTAGGCGTAGTCTGCACCTGCCAGCAATTGAGCGACCTACTATGACCATCACGTGAACCCAAAGTTGGACATCCCTGCACCCCACACAAGCAAACACATACACAAACACCGTTATGTCAGTCATTGACATCCAGTAAAAGTACGCTCATAGAGTATAAATTTGTCAGTTTGTCTTCTGAACGTTTAAGCATTTTCCGTCAAGAAAGCCAGATGTGGAAATTTGCTTTATTCTTTAACTACTCGCTAGGAGAAGAATTAGATCCAGACCTAAATTTTGGCGTAAATTGTCTTCAATTTAAGTCAGTTTAAGTCAGTTTATTAAGGGAATGAGGCTTTCGCCCTTGAGCTCCCTATTCATATCGATAAACAGAAATAAAGTCATCAATTACATCATCAAATGCGAAAAGTTTAGAAGTTAGCGAAAAGTGTGAGCTAGGCGCAAAGTGCCGCCGCTAAAACTATCATTATTGTATGTACAGTAGGTTCTCAACAAATGAGCGTCTAGTCTGCACTTAAAGGATTTGACACTTTCGGAAAGAACAACGGCATCAGAGAGTCCATTCCATGCCCGGATGACCCTGTGAGAGAAGGCGTTCCGTCAGACGTCTAAATGAGCCCGCTTCCTTTGCAGTTTGAACGGATGACCACGCAGACGGTCAGTCCGGGCCAATTCAAAGAATTCATCAAAGTCTAGGGCACACTCACGGCTTCTGACAATCCTGTAGGTTTGAATGAGATCGCCGCGCAGTTGCCTGTAATTTAGATGAAACAGATTTAGTTCGGTCAGCCTGGTTTCGTAAGGCAAATGATGAAGATTCTTGACCATCTTCGTAGCCATCGCCTGTACTCTTTCCAGTCGTTGATAATCTTTCTTCAACCACGGTCGCCAGTTCTGGACTGCATACTCTAAGTGAGACCGGACGAATGTCCCATAGGTTTTTCCGAACAGCTCTTTATCGATCTACACAAATCCTCGCCTCTGCGCAAATAACACCCTTATCGCACTTTTGGCTGCCCTTTGACACTGTGAAGATGGTTTCAGCGAGGAGGTCATTTGGACGCCCAGGTCTTTCTGTTCCACAACATTTGAAAGGGGCTGACCACCAAGGACGTATTGAAAGGAATCGTCCTCCTTACTGGTCCGTCTGGTGCGGAGTCTCAGGACCACACATTTGTCCACATTAAAATTTAGGAGACAGCGAGCTGACCAACTGTTCAGGCGGTTGAGACTGCCTTGAAGCGCGTACCTGTCTGCATCAGATCTGATGGGGCTCCACAGCTTAACATCGTCAGCAAACATGATGGCGCTGCATCCCAGGTCGTCGACGCAGTCGTTAATGTAAACCAGGAATAGCAGCGGCCCTAAGACGGAACCCTGGGGTACACCACTTAGTACGGGAGTAGGAGTTGACCTTGAGGCCTCAATGCATACGGTTTGCGATCTCCCGGTAAGAAAATCTGTTATCCATGTCAGCAGCCTTCCTCTTATCCCAATTTCTGAAAGTTTGTAGATTAGGCGTTTGTGTGGGACGCTGTCGAACGCCTTCTTTAAGTCTGTGTATATGACATCAACCCTCCCATCCTCGTCCAGTGCGCGAGTCCACTGCTCCGTCGAGAGCAATTAACTGGAAAGACACGAGCGGTTCTCTCTAAAGCCGTGCTGCAGGTCTGAGATTAAATGGCCCTGCTCCAGAAACTCCATAGTTGCTTTCTTAACTATGGCCTCCATTATTTTACAGCAGATGCTGGTTAGACTAACGGGCCGGTAATTGTTAGCATTAGTGCGAGCCCCGCCCTTGTATATCGGAAAGACACTTGCTGTCTTCCATTCCGATGGCAACCTCCCTAATTCGAATGACGAGCGGAAGATGTGCGCCAGTGGTTTGGAAAGTTCATTCGCCAGTTCCTTCAAGAATTTGGCCGGTATATTGTCCGGACCCGAGGACTTTGCTTCCTTGAGATTTTTCAGCTCCCTTTCCACGACAGCTGTCGGGAACAGTATGGAGTCAAGCACGCGATCAGCAGTCTCAACAGCATTGCTAGCACTGCGACTGCGAAACTCTGTTTCTCTAGTAAAAACCGAGGCAAAATACTGTCCTAAGTGTTCGGCCTTCTCGCTGTTCTCAGTGATCTCTACACCATTACCATCCTTCAGCACCGCGACCGGGTCCTTATTTTTCAGTCTACTGTTCAGATAGTGAAATAAAATCGTAGGTTTCTGTTCAGCCTGTCGTATAATTTTGGATTCATACTTCTTCCGTGCCTGACGGATACATTTTTTGACGGCATTTCGTTGACGACGAAATTCTTCGAAATGCGCTGGTGACGCAGTTTCTCTGAAAATTTTCCATCTTTGCTTTTCTTCCGTAGCTGCCTATTTAGGTCCCTAGTTAACCAAGCAGGTCGACTAGTTGTTTTTTGTACTTTAGGTGGACAACAGCGCCTAATCAGATCGAGTGAAATCGTTTTAAAAGATCTCCAGTCGTCCTCCGGATCTCCATTGAGTATTTGGTCCCGATTCACGGACAGCAATTCGTTCTTCATCATATTAAAATCTGCATTCCACATATTAGGTTGGCCCTCTGTTCTCTTCTGGCGTTTAGAGAAGAGCGAGTAATCCCATAGTAGCGTAGTATGGTCACTTTTCCCAAGAGGTGCATTAGACTACACTTCGTCGATATTAGAGAAGTCTTTAGTGAAAACTAGGTCTAGACAATTTGCTCTCTGGTTCTCTCAAAATCTTGTTGGTACCTTCACATGTTGCGCCAGAGGGAGATCGAGTGTGAGGTCCAGTAGCTTATTGCTGAAAGAGGCTAGTCCACCGTTAACTGCCATAGTTTCCCACTCTATTGCAGGTGCGTTGAAATCCCCAGCGATAATTACCTCTTGGTGGCTAGCTACGTCTTTGACCAAACCAAAGAGCGACTCATCAGCTGCACTCAGAAGATTTGGTGGTCTGTAAATCGCCAGAAATTCTAGATTTTGTGCATTGCTCTTCTTTATCTTTATCCAGACGGATTCAAATTCAAGGGGGAGGGTGTGGGCTCTTTCAACTGCTGAAATTCCTTCCCTTACATATACGACTACCCTTCCGCCCTGCCTATTTTGACGGTCTCTACGAAACAGCTGGTAACCCGGTATCGAAATCTCAGCATCCATTATTTCGGCATTAAGCCAAGTTTGTATTGGATAATCTCGAAGAGTGGTCGTTCTTACCAGTTTAAGCAGTCACCAAACTGAAAAGCACATGGTAGTCCTCTGATGATCTACAAAGCCAATATCTTATCCCCATGTATTGTCTATAAGAGAGTAAGTATTATTAAAATTCCTAGACAGCCTTATGTGGCAAACGTTTTAATCCGTCCACCAGTTTGGTTGTTCTTCGTTGTAAGTTCTCCAAAAAGTGTAATCTTGTTTCATCCCTGGACGCCGCACCTGAAAACAATATTATGACATTGGACGAACAAATGCTCTAGACACTCGACGGCGAAACTCTTTTTCCAATTCGTGGAAGGGTCTCCCGATCGCGTCAAGGATTCCCGTGACCTTTGACACCTTGGCGCATTGTGACAAGGATTTGGGAGTGGATGTCATTCACACGCTGTGGTGTCTTAGCTAATTAACTGATTCGAGTTGGTGGCCTTCTATGGTTTAGTATATTCAAAACACATTGTCCTCCCGTTGGTGAATGGGTGTCGAATAACTAGACCTTCGTTAAAGTTGAAGTCAATGGACCACTCATTACGCCACTGTTGAAATGATCCAAATTATTTTGCCAAAAATAGCGCATCCTTAGGATCTTCTATTGATTTCCATAACTTGAGATCATCGGAGAACCCTATCGGAGCGCAGTTTAGGCAATTCAGACAGTCGCTAACACACCCATGGATTAAGAGGTACATGGGACCAAGAACACTCCCCTGCGCGAGCCCGTTTTGAACAGTTACCCACTTTGATTTAGCGGTAAGAATAAAAACACACTGTGTGAAATTTGGCCGGCATTCGAGCCCAGTTGACTTGTTTGAAATATTAGTTGCTGATAAAGGCCCTTCTAGAGTAAATGTACATTGCCTCTATTAATAAATTCAGTTTGCTTGATTGCATCTAGCTCTGCGTGGATACGAGCAGGTTAGTGAGACAGGATCGCCCCTTCCAAATCCGTACCAGGAAAGTTTTTTCTTCAAGATGCCTTTTACATCTGTTTATTTTATTAACTCCAACAGTTTGCTTGTGAGACTCAATGGATCGAACCTATTTGGGGAGGTTCATTCGTTCCCTTTTTACTTAAGGCTTATCTTGGCTTGCGTTCTGTCAACAGGCAGAGTCCCATCCTTCATGAATGATTCGGGGAGGTCAGTT